GAAGCCCATACGATCCAAAAGTAATCTTGAAAAAGTAATAGATGCTTTCATAATATCCAAGCTTGATTACTGCAATGCACTTCATTTTGGAATCAGTCACACCTGGTTCAAAACTCTGCAGACCGATTTTTAACCGGTACAGACAAAAGAGAGCACATTACACCAGTCTTGGCCTCCCTGCACTGGTTATTTGTTTACTTTCGAATTCAGTTCAAAATCCTTCTGTATATTTTTAAATCTTTGAACAGCTCTGCCCCCTCTTAGCTTGCCGATCTGCTGCAGCCATATGTCCCACAGTGCTCTGAGGTCAGCAGAGCAGATGGTTTTATTGGTTCCAGGGACTCGTTTTTAAGCTCAGAGGTGACAGGGCTTTCTCTGTTGCAGGTCCAAAACTGTGGAATGAGTTACCACTACATGTCAGGCAGGCTCCCTCTCTCACTGTTTAAGTCTCATTTGAAAACTCACTTTTATTCTCTGGCTTTTGACACAGAGTTGATTTTAATTTGTCTGCATTCTGTAATGTTAGTCACTTTGTAGTTCTTATCTCTATGGTTGTGAATCTGTATTTTATCCTGTGCCCTTTGCTCATTTTATTTTTGCTGTACAGCACTTTGATTGGCCTTGTTGCTGTTTTAAGTGCTTTATAAATAAAGTTGTATGGTATGGTGTTGTATTGAGACTTTGCCAGTCTGCTAGCTCTTGTAGTTTGTATTTAGGATGATGTTCAGCTGTATGACCACATCAAAGTTTAGCTCAGGGCTTGTAAAGCTTTATACCCTTTTTCGTGTTGGCTCAAGTTTACTAGCTGTGGCAGCCTCCAATAGGTAACCAATTATAAATGTATAATTAATACTTTAGAATACATTTAGAAAAAAATATGTCCCTTAATTTATGAAACATTTATTAACAGATAAAACAGTGTTCATGCCAAGAGTTAATGTCAAAGTTTTAGATGTGAAGCACTCTGAATGTGTATGAGAATGACTTTCAGCTACTACCATGCTATGTTTTACCTCACTCTCTATAAAATTGACTGAGTTATAGTGATATTTGTGTTACCCAGTTTCAATTAGTTGTGGTCGCCATCCTGAATGTGATGAATCCAAAAGTTAATCAATTGTAGATATTTCCATTGATTACTTCCTGAAAGTTTCAATAAAAATCAGTGCGGTTCATGAGATATTTTGCCAAAGACAAAAAACGGTTGACACCAACAGGTACTGAACGTTTTCAGCTAAATTATTGCACAATAAGTAGTGCTCATATATATATTTCAATATTTATGCATATATGAGCACTACTTATTTTTTTTTTTTTTTTTTTTTTTTTTTTTTTTTTTTTTTTTT